TGAGACAGGGTCTCTCTACATAGCCCTTAATGTCCATCTCTAAGGTGACATTTAAGGTACAGCCAAATAATTGAGCCACACCAAATACAGAAAAGTTTACCATGAAGAAAGAATACATATACAGAGAAAGGTCTGTGTGTCTGGGAAAATAATAAACAATGGAGAACAGGGGACAAATGAAACTGAAAAGTTAATGAGGCCTACCCACAACATGGATTATCTAACAATGGTGACATTTAGCTAGAAACCCTGGAGGAGAATAACAAATGAAAGCAATGAACACAGAACATATTTAAGCTTGAGTTTGTCCTAAGAAGGGGACTACAGGTTTTCTGTAAAATTGGTGTCTTTCATCCCCTTACCTATACTGGATAAGTTAGGGTCCCAATGTTATATTCCCATTGACAGTGTCTGTTCCTGACTCAGCTTTATGATGGCAGCAGAAGCTGAGGAAACCCTTCCAACAAGAGGCTTCTAAGTTCCTTTAGAACTACTAGTTGCAATTTTAAGTATCTTTTGTGTTTTATTTTTAATCATATTATCAACCATATTATAAAATTAGGTGACCCTAGATTTTAGGAGAAAGCATGCTATACTTGGAGGGAGCAGCAATATCCGAAGCCGAGATACTGAAAAGTGTGTCAAACAGGGGCTGCAAAGATGGCTCAGGGTTAACAGCACTGGCTGTCCTTCTATAGGACCCAGGTTCAATTCCCAGCACCCACATAGCAGCTCAGGACTTATCTGTGACTCAAGTTCCAGAAGACCTGACACCCTCAAACCAATGCAAATAAAATTAAAAAATTTTAAAGTATGCCAACAAAACTTTGAAGGACAGATAGTGGTAGTCTTCTAGCCTTATCATCCAACCTAAGAAACCTTAACTGCTCAAACCTTAAAGGCTTTGTGGTTTACATTAACCAAAGAGGGCAGCCAGCAGAACCAGACATAGACAGTTCCAGCCTGCCTGGTAACACCACTGAGCAGACAGACACTACTGCTTTGGTCTCCTCAGGAGATTTTTGTACTATGGCACAATTGTCTTTATATTTTTCAGTTTAAATAGCTAAAACTGGAAATCCTTGTTAATTTGGTTGAAATATCTCTAGTTTCTAATACTCTACAATTACTTAATTTTTATTTAAGTATTAAATAAATTACTTAATGCATGAAAATTATATTAAACAAACCTGTCGTGAGATAGTCACTTTGTCTGCATCTGTGGCATAGACCACACCCATTGGGGGTGGAGACAGGGAGGGACATGACCTGGGGAACTAAATCTGAGGAGGGGGCTCGGAGAGCTCTTGCTTGCAGCACGGGGACAGGAGTACATCGGGAAGCATCCTTGGGACCAGGAACCTGCTGGTGTTCATTTGTCTATGTTGTGAGTTATTTCTCCCTGAATAGACATCTATTCAGCCTATTTGTTTCTCCTGATCCTTATTAAACATCAATATAAAGCCAGATGTGGTTGGAGGACAGCCTGGGCAATAGCAAGACCTAGCCTCTAAAAAAGTAAAAGGAAAAAAAATTTCATAAAATAAAAACTTGCCTCAAACATTTTCCCAAGAATAATTTTTAAAAATATTTACTTTGCCAGGCGGTGGTTGTGCACACTGTTAGTCCCAGCACTTGGGAGGCTGAGGAAGATCTCTGAGTTCAAGGCCAGCCAGGACTGTTACACAGACACCCTGTCTCAAAACAAAACAAAACAAAACAAAAAAAAAAAACCAACTTACTTCATGTGTGAGTATGTGTATCACATATGTGCAGGAGGCTGTGGAAACATTAAATTTCCCAGACCTGGATTGTGAGCTGCCACATGGGTGCGGAACCTAGGTTCTTTGCAAAGGCAGTAGGCCATCTCCAGCTCCCATATTGTTTGTGCATGCGTGCCTGCCCCCCCCATGTGTGTTTAAGCCTATAACTCACAATTCTCTTGCTTCTACCTCCCAAGTCCTGAGCCTGGAATAATTCTGTGAACACTCTTGGAACCACTTCCTCTAGCTATAGCTATCTTTTTCATTTCTTACGAAGTTTAATGTTTTGAAAAATTGGTATATTACTAATGGGATCTTGAATCAAGAAAATCACACATTAGGGATGTATTCTTCAAGTTATAAACAACAGGCATGTATAATCTGTAGCCTTGAGTCAAAGCATAAGAGAGCAGCTATGTTCACTATTCAATATAAAACCTTGTGAATTCACTTAAGGTATTTTAGGGATGATTTGTGATTTGGCTGGGGACTGGGTGGGGACAGTAAGGATTCTGAGGTTCTAAGGTATGAACTCTGCAGACAGCAGTGTCATGTCACAATGTCAGAGGACAGGACCTACTGATTTATTTTACCATATAACCTACAACTGCTTTTTTTTTTTTTTTTTTTTTTTTTTTTTGAGTGTTTCTCTTCATGGCCCTGGCTGTCCTGGAACTCACCCTGTAGACTGGGCTGGCCTGGAACTCAGAGCTGCTCCTGTCTCTGTCTCCTGAGTGCTGGGATTAAAGTCCTGCACCACTACCTCACAGCTTCTTAAAAAACAAAACAAAACAGTGGCTGGGCAGTGGTGGCACACGCCTTTAATCCCAGCACTTGGGAGGCAGAGGCAGGTGGATCTCTGTGAGTTCCAGGCCAGCCTAGTCTACAAGGCCAGTTCCAGGATAGGAGCAACTTGGGGAGGGGGGCACCAGATATGGTGGCACACGCCTAAGCACTTGGGAGGCTGAGGCAAGAAGACAATTATGAGTTTGGGGTGAGCAGGACTACAAAGTGAGATCAAAAACAAATGAACAAGACACTTTTTCTAGGTAGCTAAAATACTTTACTGGTAAGCCAGGCAGGGTGGTGCACACCTTCCATACCAGCACTTGGGAGGCAAAGGCAGATAGATCTCTGTGAGTTCAAAGCCCAAGGTTATATAGTCAAACCCTGTTAAAACAAAACAAAACAAAAAACCCACTGTTCAAAAGTAATTTTAACCTATGTGGTTATACAATTCTGTAATCCTGACACTTGGGAGATGGATCAGGAGTTCAAGGCCAGCCTGAGCTATACGTGAGATCTATTTCAGAGAAATGCAAACCAACCAAACAGTTTTTCTGAGCCTGGTTCAAGTTACTTTACAACTGCAGACCCAAGGTGCTCACATATAAAAACAAAACAGCTGGGCATTGGTGGTGCACGCCTTTAATCCCAGCACTTGGGAGGCAGAGGCAGGTGGATTGAGTTTGAGGCCAGTCTGTACAGAGCTCATTCCAGGACACGGTCCAAAGCAATATAAAGAAAACCTGTCTCGAAAAACCACAAAAAAAAGAAATTACCTACCCCCCCCCCAAAAAATACCTATTGAAATTTTGAAGGACACAGTTTAAAATGTTATAAACTAGGACTGAAGAGATAGTTCAGTGGTTAGAAACAGTAGCTGCTATTCCAGAGGACATGGGTTCATTAATTCATAGACCCATGTGATGGCTTACAACCATAGTAAAATCTCATAAACTTATTGACAGCATACTAAAGTGTCATATTCTTCTCATTCTTATGTGACTACTGTCCTTACTGGATTACAAGACTTATTTATTTAAAGTATAATACAATCCCAATAGAATATAAATGATTTATGCTTTAATTAACAGCAATACCAAGCTAAAAATTTAGCGTAACAAAACAACCATACATCTAAATTTTATGGCTGAATCAAATTTATATTTCAGTCAGTTTTCTTCACAGACATGGACAAAGTTGTACAACTAAGAGATGTGGATCAATTATAAGTAAAATGTTAAATAAACCTAAGTAGGTGAAGAAATATATACTTCAGGGGCTGGAGAGAAGGCTCAGAAGTTCAGAGTACTGGCTGCTCTTTCAGACCACCTGGGTTTGATTCCCAGCACCCAGGTGGCAGGTCACACCTGTCTGTAACTCCAGTTCCAGGACTCTTTTGTTTCATTTCGTTTGTTTGTTTTTCGAGAGAGGGTTTCTCTGTGTAAATCTGGCTGTCCTAACTCACTCTGTTGAACCAGGCTGCTTCAAACTCACAGTGGTCTGTCTGCCTCTGCTTCTCTAGTGCTGGGGTTAAAGGGAAAACTACAGCAGCAGATTTACAAGAGTTCAGCAATAAAACGGAATATGAGAAAAATAATGAAGAGAAGCATTGGTTAAATGAGTTAGCATATGCATGGAAAACTAGAGTTTATGTCAGAAGAGGGGGGGAGAATCACGACTGAATGTGTGCTTTAAAAAATACGTTAAATGCATATAATCAACTTGTAATAGAGCAGTTATTGCATCTTAGATTTCTCCCCTGCCCCCCCAGCGCTATGGTAAAAGATTACCCCTCTGTGAAGCTTAAGTTCAAGTTTCAGGAACATTCTGAAACAGCTACTGTGGACATCAGGTGGTTTCTTTGTGGCTTACCGATGACACAGCTTTCTTGACAGCTCACAACTAATTAGACCCAATTGTTTGCCTAATGGCCCGTGCCAATCGCACCTGAACATCAAGCACTAAAAGGAGGTTCACGCTCGCTGAAAAGGGTCTCCCACAGGACAAGGGGCACCGGCCGGGGGCTCTTAGGGGACCCGCCTGCCACAACCAGACTGCCAGGGCCTGCAGGGCTGTGTTTGGGGACAGGGCCCGGAGTGCGCTCCGCACACCTCCGCACACACAAGCAGAGGGGTCACAGCGGCGTCCCCAACACACGCCGAGGCACCCAGGAGCCCCGGGCCCGCAGCGGGTGGGCCCCGCAGGGACTCAAGCCGGGAGCCGAGCGACGGACCGCCCAAGTGCTGCCGATCCCAGGCGAGCGGGCCCGAGCAAACCGGGCAGCGCCGGGCGGACCCGAACAGACCCGAGCGGACTCGGCGACAGGGTGAGGCTGCCCGAGCCCAGCCGCACCGCGGGTCCTCCCGCCCGGCTCACGAGAACCAAGGAAAAACCAAACCAAAGAACCGAACACCCGCAGAAGCAGCGTCCTCGGGCCCAGACCCCAGTCACCTGCCACGAACACCACGAAGACCGCGCCGCTCCTCTTAGCAGACGCGATGGCCGCCGGAATGGCGCCCTGGAACCACAGCATCGCTGCCCTCAGGCCCAGGCGCTCGCTCGCTCGCTCTCTCGGTGTGTCGTCGCCGCGGTCCCACAGCGGCCCCGCCCTCCTCGTTTTCCGGCCGCGCGGCCCCGGCAACCACCGACCGGCTCGTCCGCCGCCTCGTCCTGAGGATCCAGCTCGTCACTGGCTCCGACGCCCGACGGCGCCCGGCCCCGGCCCCGCCCCCCGCCCCGCCCCGCGGGGGACACGCACCGGAGCGCGCTGCGCAGAAAGAGCACGCCACGCCCCCACACGCCACGCCACGCGTCACGTGACCGCGCGCGTCGTCAGGGCCCCGAGCCTCGTCGGCTAGGTAATCCGGTGCGTGCGCGCGCCCGCGACGCCCCGGGCTCTGACTCCAGGAACGGGAAGGAGGCTTCAGGAAGGATGACTAACCGCTACGACACGTCGGCGTCGCCTGCAGTGAGGCTCCCTGGGAATTGTAGTCTCCCCGGGCTTGTTTACTTCCCCGCTGTGGGAATACAAACTGGGGTTTCCAGGCACGATAAAAGGGCACAGGAGTGAGAATGGTAGATAGCGAGTTGCTATCGCCAGGATTCAGAGTGGCCTGGTGGCGGAGGTCCTTGATCCCAGCACGCAGGAGGCCGAGGTGGGTGGATCTCTGGAAGCTGGAGGCCAGCCTGCTCTACGTGATGAGTTCCAGGACAGCCAGGATATGCGGAGAAACCCCAAATTAAAAAAAAAAAAAAAAAAAAAAAAAAAAAAAAAAAGGTGGTGGGAGGGGGACGGGGCTGGAGAGATGGCCCAGAGGTTAAGAGCATTGGCTGTTCTTCCAGAGTTCAATTCCCAGCAACCACATAGTGACTCACAACCATTTATAATGACATCTGGTGCCCTCTTGTGGTGTCCAAGCATGCATACAGATAACTGTATACGTAATAAATAAATACATAAATAGAATCTTAAAGAAAAAAAAAACGAAAGAAGATTGATTAAAGGCACAACTGTAGTGTATTGTAGTTCCATAAACCCTCTGACCTTATTGGAGGTATTGGCAGAATACTGGCCTTCGGGATATAGTGGGCATTGACTAATTCTAAAACCTCTAGCCACTATGCTATGTAAACAACTTAATTTTTATTCCTTGCTGTGCAGTCCATGCTGGCCTCTGACTGGACAGATAACTGTAATAATCCTCATTGTCAACTCAACTGGATTTGGATTCACTTAGGAGATACACCCTTTGGGCTATGTGTGAGGTAGTGTCAGAGGGAAGAGTTGCTCTGAATGTGGGTAAAATCATCCCTACATCCAGGGGCCCATAGTGGGTAGAAAAGGGGAAGGCTACAATGTTTGTCTATCATATGGTTAAACAGTGCCAAAAGTATTTTTTCTTTTAAGGTGTTTTCTGTCAAGTATTAAATCCCAGCCACAAGTAACTAACCCACCGTTCTTCTGCCTCAGCATAATTAGTGCGGAGATCACAGCCTCTGCTGTCATGCTAGTCCATTTGTCATTTTGTTTGTTTGTTTGTTTTTGATACAGGGCTTCTCTGTGTGTAGCCCTGGCAATCCTAGAACTCACTATGTACACCAGGCTGGCCTTGAAATCAGAGGTCTGCCTGCCTCTGCCTTTCCGGTGCTGGTATTAAAGGCATCTACCACCACAGCACATCCAATGGCCACTTTTTGAACACTTAAATTTCCAGCTACTTTCTCTATGATTCAACCTGCAATCAGGCAGGACTTTGAGGATTCACAATAGAGAAATTATAAATGAGGTAGATTTGTTTAGATTGGTTGAAACATTCTATGATGTATTCATGCATTGAAACACACGTGGGAACACAATAATAAATACATCTTTATGCTTTTATGTATTGCTTTAAAAATAACTTAGGCTGGCTGGGCGGTGGTGTCTAACACCTTTAATCCCAGTGTTTAGGTGGCAGAGGAAGGTGGATCTCTGTAAGTTTGAGGCCAGCCTGGTCTACAGAGCAAGATCCAGGACAGGCTCCAAAGCTATACAGAGAAACCCTGCCTCAAAAAACCAAAAAACAAACAAACAAACAAAAAAAAAAAAACCACAAAAAAAAAAAAAAAACTCTTTTTTTTTTTTCCTTGAGAGAGGTATAAAGAAAGTTGTCTATATGGAGTAAAAAGCCACCTGTTTATAGGCCAGGAAGAAAATAACTTGTTAACTGTGTAAGGTTTGTGGATGTGAAATAAAAATGGAAGAAAAACATTTGCATTTGTCCTAGCTTCATTCACAAATCAAGTTTTTATATGCAAACTACTTTGACATTCTTCTTCTGCTTCAAAGACAGATACAAGTGAGTACTATAAACCAGCATCAGTGAAAGGGCAGGACGATAAGAGTTAGCCCATAAAGTCTGAAAACAGCCAGCCCTGGTAGGAAACGCCTCCATGTATCATCGGTGTAACCCTGCACTAATTTCCTAACCTCTCTGACAGTTCAGTTGGCCTCACTAGACAATGAAAGCCTTGAGGGATCCTACCCTGTAGGCTATGTGATTACACAGAAAGCAGCATTGCAAGGGCTTGGCAATTAAGTGGTAATTAAGTGCTCTAGAGGCGTTAGCAATTGTGTCTGGAGGCCTGCCCAAATCACGCTTAAGAAAACTATGCATGTACTGCTCAGAACGCAAAGCCCTTGTTTTGCTAGATCGTTTCTAAATGTAATCACTGGACAGATACTTGTTGAGAAATGCATTAGTGGTGTGGAGGCGGTATTAGTAGACAAAAGCCATAGACAATCTGTCTCAAGGATTACATTCTGATGGGTAGCAAAACATTAAGCAATGAATTGGCCAATTACTCTTGTAATTGCCACTGTGATAAATGCTGAGGAGAGGAACTACAGGATATTATTAATTTACATTAAGTCATTAATTATAGTTTACCAGAAATAGCCTCAAGTGAGACGGAAATGGACTTGCACAGGTTCCCTCCCCCCCACCTCAAACATATGCATACATAAAGTTCTGTGCTGGGGATGTATGGCTATATCAGGGGCATTCTGTAGTGAAGATGACCTTGAATTCTTGATCCTCTTGCCTTGATCTCCCAAGGTCTTGGATTACAGGGGTGTCCTATGATACCTTTTCTATACAGCGCTATGGATGGAGCCCAGAGCTTTATGCAGACTGGGCAATCTTGCTGTCTATCAACTCAACTGAGTCTCCGGCGGTCCCCAGGATCACTACTCCTGGACTGCAGGGCCAATATTAGGTAATAAAAGAGCAACTTGGACACAGGCTCTGAAATATTTTCACATAGTTATGAGGTGACCTATAGGCAGGTAGCATCATGGTGTGGGTACTCTGTACCAAAAGGGATGCTTACTAGGAATGACAGAGCAGGATGGGACAGGCTTCATCACAAATCATGTGTTCAGAATGGTGCAAACTTAAAAGATACAAATCTCTTTTTAGTGAAATTTTTTATATATTTAATCAAATTTTCTATATATTTTTAGAATATAGGAGACTAAAACCATAGGAAGTGAATCAAATTCCAATTATGTTACACAACATACAACAAACTGGCCTCTAGTGTTTTAACCATGACAAGTGGCTACTTTTATGTCTAATCTCTATTTCTTGAGATAGTCTCATGATTAACAGTATAGCAGATGAGGATAACCTTAATTCTGGATCTATATACCTTTACCTCCCAAGTGCTGGGATTATAGGTGTCCCTGTCTTGACCACAGTTTAAGCTTCACTGGGATATAGCTCAGTGATACATTAATGTGTTACTATTTGTTTGCATTACATTTATTTCTTCATGTGTGCACATGTGTATGTGTAATTCAGGGTGCATGTCTGCCATGGCATTCACATGGGGGCCAGAGGATAACTTTCTGGAGGTGCCTTTAATGGATGGGCTCTCTTTCTGGTTCAGGAATGTCATCATTATTGTTACTTGAGACAGTGTTACTAAGTAGACCAGGCTGTTACAGAACTCTCAACCATTATCTTGCATCACTGTGTGTCTGGCTTGAACTATTCTGAGGTTCAAGTGAAATGTGTAAAGAGGTTAGAGGTTTCTATCTGTCCATTGTCCATCTTTTTACCTTGTGACCCCTGTATTTCAGTCTTCTTGGAGATGCTCACTCTCAACTGATGGGAGGCTTTCTTGGTGACATTTATCCCCATCTTCAGAAGGCATATGACACCCCCAACACCACCATTATAATAGACTTGGCCCAAGTCACACCAGCCACAATTTCAGGTTGGTGGCCCAGGCTGTCTTTAAACTTGCCAAAGATTACCTTTTGACTTTTCTGCATCTGCCTCCCTACCATCACACCTGGTTTAAGTGGTGCTAGGGATCAAACCCAGGGCGTTCTCAGTGTTAGACACGCATTGTACCAACTGAACTGCATCCTCAACCCAGAGGACTCAACTCGTGTGTGTTTGTATGTGACAGCACGTCAGAGGTCGGAGGACAACTTGTAGGAGTCACGTGGATCCTGGAAATGGAACTCTTGCCTCAACCTTCCCCTCAACCCTCCCAGGTACTGTGACATGCCCATTATAGGCATGTGACAAGACACTATAGACATACACTAGCACACATAGTCTAAGCCTTGTGCTAAACTAAATTTGTTAAGCAACAAGACAACTGAAACTTTACTTCCTATTCTTTTATCTATTTGAATGCTCCCATTCCCCTTCCCCAAAGAACTGCTTTGATCTCTTTTCTGTTTCTGACTCAGGCTTTCCTCCTGTCTTTCCTTTATGCCTTTTTAATATTCCTATGCCCAGAATAAAACAATCCAAAAGGAATTAGAAGTAAATCAGAAACAATGCACTCTGCTGCAGTGTTTTATGCTGAAGGCTGATGGGTTCGATGTGTGAGTGGCAGTCTCAGCTCTTAAGGCATCGAGAATCCCAGACATGGGGCCTTGGAATAGCTGGGTACTGACCCACAAAGACTTCGGATGCAAGGATCAGACCACCTTCACAGAGACCTCCTGGCTGGCCTCTGCTCAGGTCTTGCGTGGACATTTTTCTACTGTGGATGTGGAGAATAACTCAGCTGCTTTGTGTAGTAGTGTGGATGTGCTGCCTCGACACACAATAATGGCGGCGAGGTCTATGTCCACTGCTCACAGGGCACAAGTCCCTCAGTGGGGAACCAGGAAAGCTAACTTTCCTGAGCCCGACTGAGTGCAGATCCTATTCTTGTCAGCTGTGACACCAATTATTTTCTCTTACTGCTTCTGACACTGTGGGAAAGCACACTGTGGACACAGGACAACTTTGTGCAGTGGGTTCTCCCCTTCTACCCATATGGGTTCTAGAGATTGATAAGCAACAAATGCTCTCACCTCATGAGCCACCTCAGCAGCCCCTAAAGAGGTATCAAATTAAAAAAAAAAGACAAAATGGGTCTACATTTGTAAACATTTATTCTCTTGAACTGAAAAAGGCTTGCATCAGCACATTGTACAGCCTTGCAAAATTACACAGAAACTGAAAATAAGGTTCCTTGTTCATAAGTGCAATGAATCTTTGATGTCCAGTAATCCGCTGCAAACAATGAAAACAAAATTCAAACCACTTAAGAAGTTTTCAGCACTCGTCACGTGCATTTCCTCAGGTGACAAAATATCCACACAGGAGAATGCACAGGAGTGGCATTTAGTTATTGGAAGGACACTTAAAAAAAAGTGGAATAATTTTCCTGCCTAGGATGATTCCTATTTCTTTTTAACCTAAGTGGTTTTACTAAGAGGCATTGAGAACATAATTACCTTACACTTAATGGCCATACTACCTAAATGAAGGAAGGACCCTGTTGGGGAGTTCTGGATTTCCTGGAAAACTTTTCTGTGTTTAGCAATTCAGTGGAGGAGTAATTGTCTATTTGTGGGTCTCCTCAGCACCCTCAGCACCCCCAGAGGATAGTTTTGACATGGTTTTGACTTGGTTATTCCATTCCTGCATTCTTTTTTTTTTTTTTTTTTTCCCAAAGTCTGAGCTGGTTCACACTGTGCTGGCCGCAAAAAGAAATACAGGCTGCAACTGGTTATAATCACTTTGAAGAATAATTTGCTGTACAATAGAGCTTTGGATCTGATACAAGAATTCAGAAATATAAAACAAAATAACTATAAAAGTTAGGAGGCATCTGAACAGCATTTCCTTAGAAAAAGCTGCTTACTCTGTATCATTCCTGTGTGGGTTCCTATAGTCACTGGGGTGAAATGGGCATCTCCCCCTCCCTTTCTTCCAAAAGCTGTACCATGTGGCCACACATCCCAGGAGCCTCTATATTAACATCCTCTCCACGAATCAAGCCAATCAGCGGGGAGAGGGCGGGCAGGCGGGCGGGGCGGGGGATGATAGAGGGTCCAGAGGCGGCTGCTTTACTGAGAACTCGCCCTTTCCAAGACGTGGGAGTCGTAGTGCTTCTTGCTCATTCTCAGCTTGAACTTGTTCACTGAGTGGATCTGCTTCCTCAGCGCACTCTGTGCAGCTGAGATGGAGGGGAACGTGGCTAAGACAGTGTAGGTAGAGGCCAGGTCACTGGGTTTAGAGCGCTCGGGGTGGACAGTGCTATCCCCACTACCACAGCAGAGAGCAGGACGATGTAGCTGGGGCTGGGACTGGGGGTCCCGCAGCCATCGGATCTTGGCGCCAATTTTAAAGAGTTCCCCAAAAAGCTTCTCAGCTTCCACTCGAGTTATCCCATCTGGTAGCTCTGTGATTTCCAAGACTTTGCCAACAACTAGCATAGAAAAGGTGAGAGAGTTAACGCACGCCTTTCACCAGAGACGTGGGATCAGGTCTCTGCTGCCCCAGATGACACAGGAAACAGCTCTGACATTATCTAAACTCACAGAACCTCCTTTCCTCTTTAAGAGCATTCCCACTCAACACCGAGTGCTAAGCTACTGATCTCAGTCTACCCTGATAAGGCGCAGCACTAACCAGTGGTGTTCTCTAGAGCCGGTCACTGGGCAAACCCTTTCTGAGCTGCCCACTCCAATGTGAAGTAAACAGAGCAGCACCTGCCGTCCCCACCCACAGCAGAACTCACGTATGTGGGCAAAGCACCACCACAGGAAGACGACACCTTCTCACTGGCTGCTTCCTGCTGGTGAGAATGAGTCCTTTCTCCCTGCTCCTCTCAGACACATCTTTTCCCTGTGGCCCTCCCTCTTTACTGCTCCTGAAGCTACCTACTAAGGCCTTACCATGTGTACACTCACATCACATCTAAGAACCTGAAGGCACAGATGGAGGAATTTCTAGGAACTCCGTGAAAGAACTCTAGGAGAATGGAGCCCATTTTAGTGGTGTGGTGGGGTGCGTTCTGAGAGACCAACATCTGCGGACATACCTGCTTCGCCGGCTCCAAGGTCAGTGGAGGCAGCTTTCTTGGCTTGTCTGCGTCCTCGGTTTCCATGCCTGCTGCCAGACTGACCCTACAAAAGCAGGAGGAGCTGCAAACTACGTTATGCCATTTGAGAGTACAGCACCCAAACCAGCTTTGGGTTATGTACTTGAGAGAAATTACCCCAATTTCAGGCTGGGTCTGCTTTCTTGCTCATCTCACTAGGACCTGCCCTGCGGATTGGCTTTCATAAACAAGGGTGCTGTGCCTGTGGCTACCCCCATCTTCTGGTATCAGTAGCAAAGCACCAGTCAGCGAGCAGCTGCCACCTTGTCCCTTGCTCTGCTCTATACTAGGCCAGTGCTAACAAGGATCAGCAGCTGGCTGAGGACTCCCAGAACTCAGGCAGTGCAGACAGCTGGTCCCGGAACCTCTGACATTCTCAGAAACAGTTAGGGTGTTCAGCAACAGAGCCCGTGGCGTAGGAGCTACCTGTCATACCTGTTGGTGTGGAATGTGTCCATGAAGAAGAGTAGGAGGGTTGTACTGCAGGGGCTGGCCAAGCAGTGGATACCTGGCATCTCCTGAAAGTCAGTAAAAACACTTTGCATGGTTCCCTCTTCTTGGCTGTAATGTACTTACCAGAGTTTGCTAACTGTTCAGAAAGAAGATAAACATAGAAAACATGTTTGGTGGGAAACAAGCATAGACAATAAATGTATTTTAAAATTTTATTTGTGTGTCTGTAAGTGTGCAAAGGCTAAATAAATTACAGGGCATGTGGAAGCCAGAGGACAACCTGTGGAAGTTAGTTTTCTCCTTCTGCTATGTGGGTGCTGAGGACTGAACTTACGGTCACCAGCATTGGAGGCAAGTTCCTTTAACTGCTGAGCTATCTCACTGGACCAGATGTCCTCTTTTAAAATGACAAAGGTCCTTAACTTGTTCAAAGAGCCAGTATAAGCTTCTGAAAGAACACACGCACGCACGCACGCTGTAAACAAGCCAGAGTTGTGTATGTCAAAATGGTGAAATTAAACAAATCAATAGTGCTCAAAAACTTAGGATACACAGAAAGTTGTTTAAAATTTTTGACATCTTAGGTTTAGTTTTTTTATATGACAAAATTTATTTCCAGTGTGTTAAGATTGAGGTGGCAGGCTGGAGAGATGGATCAGAGGTAAATAGCACTGGCTACTCTTCTAGAGGTCCTGAGTTCAATTCCTAGCAACTAAATGGTGACTCACAACCATCTATAATGGGATCTGATGCTCTCTTCTGGCATGTAGGCATACATACAAACAGAGCATTGATACCTAAAAAAAAAAAAAAAAAAATACAAAAACAAAAAGGAAGAAATAAAAGAAAGAAAGAAAGAAAGAAAGAAAGAAAGAAAGAAAAGATTGAGGTGGCAATAAGCAGAGATGCTTCCTTATAAAAGGCTGGGCTAGGTGCTCTTCGACACTTCCATTTATTTATTTTAAGAATATGTGAAAACTTGGGAGTATGCATGTGTGTCTGCATATGTGTATGCCCACACGTGCAGGTGACTGTCTGTGGAGCTCAGAGGCACTCGATTTCTTGGCACTGGAGTTGTAAGTTGTTGTTAGTTGCTGGATGTGGGTTTTGGGAACTGAACTTTATGCACTCTTAAAAAAACAAAACCAAACCACCAAAAACATTTTTTAATGTGTGGATGTTTTGTCTGCATATATAATTCAGTGCCATGGAGGTCAAAATAAAACACAAGATTCCCTGGAACTAGTTACAGACATGTAACTAGTAAACAGGTACAGTAAACTGCCATGTGAGTGCCGGGAATGGATCCGGGGTCCTCTGGAAGAGCAGTTTGTAGTCACTGTTCTGTTGCTGTGAAGAGACACTGTGACCAAGGCAGTTCACTAAATTGGGGCTCGTTCACAGCTTTAGAGACTCAATCCATTATATCACGGTGGGGAAGGTAACGGCATGCTTGGTGCTGGAGCAGTACCCGAGAGCTACACGCTGATGCAAAGGAGAGGGAAGAGGGAGTGGGGGAGGGGGGGTTCTCTGCATTATAGCTCTGGCTGTCCTGGAACTTGCCTTGTAGACCTGGCTGGCCTCAATCTCACAGAGATCCGCCTGCCTCTGCCTCCCAAGAGCTGGAATTAAAGGTGTGAGCCACCACTGCCTGGCTGGATGTTTACGCATTTAGTAACTCCTTTATAATAAAAGGAGTGTGGGCAAATGTGTTTGAATCTATGTATGAGGGCATGCCTGCAGAGGCCAGAAAGGGGGGAGGGGTGGACACCTTGGAACTGGAAATATGGGTGGCTATGAGATACCTAATGTGGTTGCTAGGAAAGGATCTCAGGTCTTCTGTAAGAGAAGTTAAATACGTAAGCCTTCTCTCCAGCCCTATAAATGATTCTTTAGAATATGGCTCTGGGAACTAGAACATAGATGGGTCAGTGGCTAAGAGCATCTGCTCCTTTTCTAGAGTTCCCGAGTGTGGTTACCAATGCCTATGTCAGGCAGCTCAGAACATCTGTAACTCCAGCTGCTGGGACCTTTGGCTTCTATGGATATCTGCACTCACAAGCACAGACTCCAAAGGAAAAAAACATACCCCTATACATCATTTAAAAGAAAAACAATTTTTAAAGCATGGCTCTAATATGAAAGCAGTGTACCAAATGACACAAATGTAATGTATCTATTTCTTTCTGATGGACATTGGGGTTTTCACATTTTTTTCTTTTCTTTTTTTTGGCTAGAGGTAAATGAAATGACTTCTACAATAGTTCACAATCATCACAGGCCTTTCTGTCTCCCTACGTACACTGAGACACAGTGGCAACAATAATGAGCAGGCACATTATTTGTATAAATGCTTAATCAATTTCTTACTAAACACACTATAAATATAGAACAATTACTTATAAAATATAGGCATTGGCACCAGGCCTGATAACATGCGTTTGATCCCTGGAACTAAAGTGGCAGAAGGAGAGAACCAACTGCTGCACGGTGTCCTCTGATTTTCACATGTATGCACACGGTCATGCAAAATAAACAAGCATACGCAACTATACACAGAGGAGTGGCAGGTGCGCTGGGGTGCTTTCGTTTCACGAAGACTTACCCTGCCCAGGGACAAAAGGTCGAGCAAACTGGGACATGATGGAAAGTGGTGGTCCCGAGGGTCGGACGCTCTTCAGGGTGGACAGCTGAGCTGGAGCCGGTGACTGCACAGGTGAAATGATGGGGCTGCTAAGTTGAGGACTGTGCTGCAGTCACAGCAGAAAGGAGATTAGGTCACACTTGGGGCAGGCAGTGGAGAAATTACCGTCTGGACAAAATTTTTACTCACTGAATTAGAAATTGATACCTGTCCAAAAACTTAAATCATTATGAATAAACTTCCCTTTCAAACACAAGCAACAGATTATTCCTATGCATACTGGTCCTATGCATTTGCATTTATACATCATTATTATAAAAATGAGAACAGACTACTATATTATTGAAATCTGCTATTCAACTTGGCATATAATGCTGCTGCTTTTGCAATTAGAATACATACTTACTCACTCTTTTCTAAACTAAATGTTTACAATACTTCATTTCAAAATAACTTCAACCTTGGAAAATAGTTACACATAATGCAAAAGTTTCCTAAATTGTGCTGATGTTTTCTTTACTTTTTGGCAATATTACTGTATAGGCCTGGCTTGCCTCAAATTCATTATGTAGACCAGGCTAGCCTCAAACTCACTGCTGATCTTCCCAACTCTGCCTCCTGTATGCTGGGTTTCCAGGCATACACGGCCATACCCCGCTTACATATTCTTTATATTCATTTGTTTCCTCTCTTACAACTATGACTGTGTCCCTTGGAACTGGAATTAGAGACAGTTGTGAGCTGCCACCTGTGTGTTGCGAACCCAGGTCCTCTGGAAGAGCAGCCAATGCTTTTACCTCATTACCCATCTCTCCAGTCCCCAGCATTTTCTTTTCTTTCTTTCTTACATGCCAATCCCAGTTCCCCCTCCCTCCCTCCCTCCTTCTCTCCCTCCCTCTTGCCCTCTCTGCCCCCTCACATGCACCCTGACCACCCTCCCCTCCCATCCCCCCACCCCAATTCCACATGTAGGGCAATGCCATCCAGGTGGGGTCATGTAGATCTGTCAGGTCACTTGAAGTAGGGACTAGGGCTTCTCTCCTGTCTCTAGGTTAAGGCAGTTATCCCTCCATGGGGGATGTGTCCGCAAGGTCCTTTTGTGCTCCCGGGATACATCCTGGTTCCACTGTCTGAGGTCCCTTAGACTGCTCAGTCCTTCTGGCTGAGACCCATGTTCAGGGAGGCCTCTGAGTCAGTCCCATGCTGGCTTCCCAGCTATCAGTCTGTGGGGGCAGCATTTTCTTATAAAACCACAAGACATCAATAATATAATACTATGATCTAAATTATAGAGTTCTTTCAAATTTTGACAAATGTCCTTTCTAATAACAGAGAAGCAGTAACATCCCCTATATTTCTGGAATTCACACGAGAACCAAAACTGTCCTGACCTAGACCTACTATAATGCAATCAGTACTCTCTCATCTGATACAAGTTCTTTCAAAACTCTGATGTCTTTGAAGACTCAGGTCTCAAGATTATTTTGAAGATAAGTTATGTTGACTTTTGTTTTGTTTTTTTTTTCCCCTCTCTGAGACAGGAGCTCAAGACCAGGTTGGCTACCCTGTTTCAGCATCTTAAGAACCACTGTGCCTGGCTTGCTATACCATTTTTTTACTGGAAAAAATTCCAAAAGCAAATTTTTGAACTAGACTTTGAACCTTGTGTGCTTTAGAAAATGGGATAATGTTACCAATACTTATTCCAAAAGAGTTGGAATAAGTTATACAACCCAGAAACTCCAAGAGACCTTATAACTAGCTGTTCCCTAACATTTTAGATTATCTCTCACTTAACTTTCCCAATTTGAAAGATGAAATACTTTAAGATCAGGGTGAAGCTCACTGCCAGAGCACTTGCCAACATGCACGAGGCTCTGAGCTCATTCCTCAGCACCCCCCTACTACCCTACCCCCACCCCCCCAGACAAACAAGACAGACACACATACACCCAAATCAAATGAACACAAATAAATGGCCGTTGGCCATTTACAGTTAGCAAATCTATACATAAACTATCTGTGTTAGTAATTAGTCATCTATGATATTTGAACCTTTAGTTATTTTGACAAGTGACGAGTACAACTGTTCACTAGGTTCAAAGTTATTTACCCAACCTGTCTACTTTAAAGGCCCCACTAACATGTTCACCTACTGGTTTTAGCATGTTGACAATTTTTACTTGTTCTCTGTTGATTGGTAGGGTCTGAAGTACAGCCAATAAGGCCAACTCATTATGTAGCTAATGATGCCTTTGTACTCCTTATTTTTCTGCTTCCAACTTCCCAGCACTGGGGTTATATATAGGCAAGTAATGCCATACCTGGTGTGGTGGTTTAAATAAGAATGCTCCCACAGGCTTACATTTTAATGCTTGAGGCCTAGTTGGTGGAACTTTTGGGAAGGATCAGGAGACAGGTGTGGCCTGTCTGGAGGAGGCGTGTCACCCGAGGCAACCTCTGAAGTTTCAAAAGCTCATTAGTTCTCTCTCTGTCTTGTGAAGGTTAGCACTAAGACACTGCTACAGCACCATGCCTCCCTGCCTGCCACGGTGAACCCTGTCATAATGATCGTGGAGTCTAAACCTCTGGAACAGTGAGCCCCAATAAACGACTGGTCATAGTGTCTTTTCATAGCAACAGAAAAGACACCTGGTGCTTGAGGCTTTTCATTTGCCAAGTTTAGAATCTGCTTCAACTTTCTAAATGCTGCAAGCTTAGAGACATGAGCTAGCATGCCCAGCTCTCTTGACATTTTTTTAGGTCAAATTTACTTTGAATATAAATAAGCTGGCAAACAAAACTAAGGTATAAGGATCAAGAGTTTGAGGTCAGCCTAGGCTACAGAAGACCTTACTTTAAAAGTCGGAAAATAATATTGGAACACTGATATAAATGCCTGGACGTCAGGACTATTCAGATGCCCCCATTAATCTTAGAAGTCCTTCAGATACACTGTTGTCATCGTATGTGATGAAAAGGTTGTTTCTAAATAACAAACCAAACCACAAGTAGTGGTTTATAGCTTTAATCTCAGGGAGGCAGAAGCAAGCAGAACAATGTGATTTCCCAGCCACAGTACTACACATCCAGACTGACTCACAAACACAAACAACAAAGTGATAACAAAAAGCTTACCTGGACAATATTATCTATGTTACTAAATTCCACACACTTCTGCCCTCGCTGATGGTCACAGTAATACTTGTTTTGTTTCCACTGTGGGGGTGAGTGTGCCCGAGACTGTGCATTGTTCGGTAGGTTGAGCTGCATCATCAGCATCCCTCCGCCAGGTGGCTGCTGTGGCAGAGCTGGAAACCAGGACAGTTAGTACACTGAAGTCAGAGTTAAGCAACTAATGGTTATTTTGGAACACCAGGAAAACAACATTAGTTTCACATTTCTGATTTGGTTTTATACCTATGTTTACCAGCCATAAGAGCTCTAGTGCAGCCTTACATATAAGAAACATGCCTGTATTAGCCTGGTTTATGTAGTGAGATCTTATTTCAAACAAACAAAAACAAAATACAAGCAAACAAAACATTTCAAAGAAATCAAAAAGACAAAACAAAAAACAAGAAGCTGGAATTCTTTAGACCTTAACATATGGAGGAACGTTGTAGATAACAGCACAAAATATATACTTTGTCAATGCTCCTAATGTGTAAAACAGATATTTCCAAATAAAGGCAAGTTCTGTGAGTATTTTACCATAAACAAGGGGAAGGCCAGTCATGGTGGTATATACTTTTAATCCCAAGAGGCATCAGATCTCTATGAGTTTGAGGCAAGCATGATCTACACAGAATTACAGGACACCTAAGGATACAATGAGAGACCCTGTCTCAAAAAACAAACAAATATAAAGACAACAAACAAACCAAACTAAACCAACAAGAAAGATAAGAACAAAAACAAAAGGAAAGTATAGGGTGAACTAGCAGAGAATATATGGTCCAAGGGGGTCAGAGAGCCCAATTTTAGTACTTTGAAAAATTCTACCACACACAATTTCACATCTTTTAGTTTACTTTCTCACTTGAAAAAGGAGGCTAGGCGGAACTAATTAGGCTGATTTTATAGCGTTGCAAGGGTTGTATATACATAAAAACATGTTGCTGAGGGTTGGCTATATTGCTCAGTGGATAAAGTTCCCTGCCACCAAGCTGGATGACCTGATCTCTAGGACCTACATGGGAAGTGAACACCTCCTGAGAGCTGTTCCCTGACCTTCACATGTATGTGCACCACAGAGTGAGACACACACCCCAATAAACACTTTGCTAATTGTAGAGTACAGATAAGTAAACAAGGGTACCTTCTTATTTTTCTTGCATACATACTACTGCTATAGCATTCAAAAATATATTTATTGCTGGGTGATGTTGCCAAATGCCTTTAATCATAGCATTGGGGGAGATAGGCAGATCTCTGTGAGTTCAAGGTCAGTCTAATCTATATATAGTGTGAGTTTCAGGACAGGCAACAGAGCTACAGAGAAACCATCTAGAAGAAAAAAATATATACATATGTATATACACAATTTTCTTTGGGGGGGGGTATGTATGCATGGACACAAGGGCACATGTATTGAGTCAAGTCACATGGAGAGAGAGACAGGACAACTTCCATCTTACTGAGGCAGGGTCTCCAGCAGGGCCCTTGAGTGTCGCATTGATTCTGCCTGCCTTTCGTCTACCATAGAGGTACATGAGGCTGGAGAGATGGCTCAGGGGTTAAGAGCCCTAGCTGCTCTTCCAGAGGTCCTGAGTTCAATTCCCAGCAACCACATGATGGATCACAACCATCCATGAGAAGTGATGCCCTCTTATGGCCTGCAGACATACATGTAGGCAGAACACCGTATACATAATAAGTAAATCTTAAAAAGGAAAAAAAAAGTACAAAGGTTATATACATGTGTGCCACTACATACAGCCTTTTTTTTTTTTTTTTTTTTTTTTTTTTTTGTGGGTACATGGCAGAGCTGATGGTGGCTGAGACGGGTCTCATTTTAAAGACCTCCCTGACCTTGAATTGAGAGATCTGCCTGCCCCTGCTCCCTGGGTGCTGCATTAAAAATAGGTTCCATTTTCAGAGGTAAGTATGTACTTCACCTGATATCAAGAACATTAAGCTGTATGAGATGGGGACTGTGCCCTTCTCTTCAGGACCTTAGTTGGCACTATAGTAATCCTAATGGTGGTTCCAATTCCCGACATACAAAACCAGCTTGACAGGGCAGGGTGTCTCAAGGTTTCCTAAGCCTCAACTGAAAGTGGCCCAGGATGGACACAGCCTCAGCTAGTCATTTACTGACAATCTCTTACTGTTTATCTCAACAACCACCACAGGAAAACACAGTGCAGTGCTAAAGATTGGTGTTAAGGTCTTACAGAAGCAGAGAACAGCATTAAAGCTTTCAAAGACCCGGAGAACCATTTGACAAAGAGAGGATCAAGGGAACAGTCGTTCCTAAGAGAAGGAAAAACAGTAAAACAAGTACTTCTGGTGTGAGAAAGTGTAATTCTCAGCACCCAGGAGGCTGAGGCAGGAGAGAAGCCTTGAATTGAGACCAGCCTGAGGCCAGAGTGAGTTATAGGCTCGTTTGACTTCAAAGACAGACCCAGTCTCAAACGGGGGTAAAAAGAAAAATATGTGCAGTTGCAGTAAGAAATAAGGTTCTATGTATCTGACCACACATGTATAACGGGGGACTTGCTAGTGAGGGAGGAAGAAAAGTTAAGTTCATCTGAATTTTATTTTTTTTTTAAAGATTTAGTTTTATGTCGTATGCATGGTGTTTTGTCTGTGTGGATGTATGCATGTGCACCATGTACCTGCAGTGTCTGAGAATTCTAGAAGAGGGGAATAGATCCCTCAGAACTGGAGTTGTAGCAGGATGTTAGCCATCATATGGGTGCTGAGAACTGAACAAGGAAGGATCCTCTGGAAGAGCAGAGTGCTGAGTCATAGCTCCAGCCCAAACTTGAGCGTTTTTATTCATAGAATGCCATGAAGAAATTTCTATTACAGGACAAACAGTGACTTTGTGAGTGTGACAGAGAGCCACAGAAGACTCATGGTTCTGAGACCTCTGCACTACTCCTCTATGGAGGCTGTAGGAAGAGATTTAAAGAGGAGGAACTATCGAGGCTGGCACGCTTTTCAACTTCTGGGTTCAGCAGGAGCAAGGGTTACCAGGGTTACCAGGTGTTAACAAAGGGTAGTAAGCTGATCTGATTACACAGGAAGATCTAGAGAATAATCAAGAGGGTTTAGCAAAGGGTTCCCAAGATTAGCAAGAGCATAAAGGGGGAGAACGGAGGCAGAAGAAAGGCCTAGGATTAGAAACTGTAGGATTGAGCTGCACATGCCAGGCTGACTCACCACAGTACATGTGAGTGCATGTCAGCGTGCTGTCAGCTGAGAACCAGACAACTACCCTCAAATGAAGGAACCGTGCGTGACCTCCGTGACAGCTGTCTAGGCATACCTGCACATTGGTGGCCTTGGAGCTGTTGAGAACTGCATGGTGATGTGGTTCGAGGAAACTGTACTTGTTCTGACCCTGGATGCTGTAAGTAACTGACTGCAGAGCTATAGGGTAAAACACCAAACAAAGAAAACAGTATGATGAAATACAGATGACTACAGAGTCTGAAATAAACATCCCTCCAAGTTTATTGAAATGGACATACTTTTCAAACTGGCAGGCAAACTCCATTTAGCTCTTCTTTGAACTGTGATCGTTCAGTAAAAAACACTTTATGTTCAAAGCACTGACCGAGACACTGAAAACCAATCTCCTAATCCCACCATTGAAAATTTTATGATCATTCTAACATTTCTGCTGTAGTGTTCAAATAGTGTTTTAAAAAAGAAGTCACACTGGTCAGTGATGGTGCACGCCTTTAATCTCAGCACTCAGGAGGCAGAAGCAGATGATCTCTGTGAGTTCAGGGCCAGCCTACACAGCGAAACCCTGTCTGGAAAAAACAAAAACAAAAAACCTAAAACAAGAAAAGAAGAAGTCACTTTGTTTTTTTCAAGACAGGGTTTGTCTGTGTTGCTTTGGAGCCTGTCCTGGTATTCGCTCTGTAGACCAGGCTGACCTCGAACTCACAGAAATCCATCCACCTACCTCTGCTGGGAGTAAAAGGTGTGTGCCACCACCGCCTGGCCCTAGTATATGAGATTTATCCCCAAATCTAACATATTAAAATACTTTTGGAGATTTATTTAATCTTTTGTGTATCAATTGTTTGCTTGAGTTACGTATATGCACTATGTGTGTGCCTGGTGCCTGGGGAGGGCAGAAGAGGGCTTTAGGTTCTGTGGAACTGGGAGTTACAGATGGCTGTGAATCACCATATGGGCTCTGGGCACCCTACCGACCCTCCACAAGAGCAGTGAGTGTTCCTAACCACCGAGCCATCTCTCCAGCCCCAATGCCAACATTATAAGGTACACTACACAGTATATTATTATTAATAGTCACAATGCTGTACAGACCTCAAGACTATAGTCATCTGGCATAGCTTACAAGGCTGAATGTACCCACTGTTCTCCAACCTTTCTTCATACCGTTAAGTGTTAACCTATCTGGAAGAAAGCACTCAAGACAGCAAACAAGGAAAATCCTAAAGCTTCGGCCATCTTACAGGTTTCTGTAGTTTGATCTTCTTCCCTCACAAAAGCACGTCAGAAGCACCATGGAAGAAACTCAGAAGAGCATAGCTGTCTTTACCGTTGTTCAGCCTTAGCCCAACATAGGAATGACTGCTTTACTAACGTTTTTCCTGATAAATAAAAGTGGGCCATTCAGTTAAGTTCCTCATCCTTTATTATATCTCTGTTAGCAAAGATTTCTCTGACGTTCTAGGAACACAGCTAGCCTTAGAAAAAGCTGAAAAAATGACTAGATAAATAGCATAATACCTTTTCTTAGGAATTTAGTTAACTGTAAGCCTTTGGTCAACTTTCAATGGCGCAGCACACTATATTCCTGTGTCACACTCACCTTAAATTACTTTGTTGGCCAGGTGGAAGGACACTGTAGTACACTGGCATCCCTGTTGTAGGCAGAGATCCTTGATTAGATTGGTTAGGGAACACAACAGGCTGTTGGTAAGTCTGATGGGCAATTCCTTGAGAACCTTGAGGCAGTGAAACCTAAAATTTGAAAGACAATTTAAATAGAAGAAATAGGTTTTAAACCTTATAGATGTTCACGTCAAGCTCCTATAAACTTGTAAAGCATTTTTTGGCTGGAAACTCCATCTCAGCCCCTCAGTTCCCCTCGGAAAGACCGGCTGTCAAAAGTCCAGGTTCCTCCCTCAAAGCTCAACATGCCTACAGAGGACTGCCATTGATTTTTCCTCTTCCCTCCTCTGCCTCACTTCTGGGGTCTGGAGGGGTCACGGAGGGGGGCACTTGGATCATTAAACCTGGTCTTTTTGATTCGGCTTGATCTGGTTTATTGTATCATCAGAGAAAACCATGACTAGGGATCCAAAAATACCTATTGTTAGTTACAATAAGCTCACCGCAGTACCATTATAGTCTATAGACACGACTCATACAATAGATTAAGCGCATTCCATTTTTGAGAAACTTGATTTATCCTTTAAAAAGTTAATTTTAAAAAAGCCTTGAGCAAAAGGATGACCGTGTGACAATGAAGAGATAACACATTGAACTCAGGCAAAGGGTTCAGGGAGGGAGTCGGTGAAGTCCACTAGGGCATAGTGAGAGCTATGGCGCTCTGGTCGTATCCCTTCACTTGTCAACCCATGAGACACTGGCCAGCATTGCCACCAAGGGCCACATGGATGTCAAGGGTCACAGCTGCCCACCTAGGGCTACTTAATCTAAGCCCATCAGACTTACCAACGCTGCCCTCACTGGCTGGGGCCCTGAACCCAGCCCACACAGCACAGAAGAGCTGTCAGAGGGCAAGTGATCTGACCCTTGATAGTGCACTGGAGATCAAGTCCCGCCCCTCATCTGCCTTATGGTGGAGTGGGAGAAAACCCCTCCTTTCCCCCTCCCCTTGCTGCCTGTGGCGGGTGCGAGAGCTGGCCCTGGGGTCACAAGAATGGGAGAATTGGCACTGCACCTCTCCTGGGTAGCACAGCAGAGCTGACCCTCTTGGTGGGGAGGAGGATGACAGTGACCCCACACTCCCTAGTCAGCCACGGGCTGGCATGGGTGAGGGGAAGACAGCTTCCCCCATGAGCCCTTGCCACCTATGCCAGGCAGGAGAGCTAGCCCTGGGGCGTGAGAACAGGGGCGCCCAAACCGCCTCCCACAGGCTGTAGGCCCTGCGCCTTGCCTTGGCAGCACACTGGAGCTGACTGCTGGGGAGAGAGGCGCCCAGGCGAGCCTGTGGCCCCTGCCCCTCCCTCGTATGCCACGTGGTGGCATGGGTGGGGGAAGCAAGCTGTTCACCCTCCACGCCTCGTCAACTGCAGCGAGCAGACAGCCAGGCTTGGGGGCAAGAGAACGGAAGAGCTGGCTCCTAGCTGCCTGCCTGCCTGCCGCATTAGCTTAGCGCAACATCTACCTAATCTGTGAACTGCTAAAGTGTGTGAAGGGGCTGCTCTGACTGAGGGCTGTAAACTAAGAGGAAAGAAACCCTTTCCTCTCCAAGTGCTTAGGTCAAAGTGTTTATCACTGCAACACAAAGTAAACTAGGCCACTCCCTAAAGAAGGGAGAGGGGAAAGCAAATTTAACATCATAATGCACATATGTTTAGGTCAAGTGTGGCTCACAAAGCAGAGGGAGGCGGATTTCTGTGAGTTTGGGGCCAGCCTGCTCTACAGATCGAGTTACAGGACAGTCAGGGCTACACAGTTAAATCCGGTCTTCAAACAAACAAAAGCAAAACAAAAACCTAAAGAAAAGAACTTGTGGATTTGGGAAACAATAAATCTTTCCATTCTAGATCTATGAATCAAACTTCATGAAATTTTAATTTTATTTATTTGAGACAAGGTCTCAACTGTAACCCTGACTGACCAGGTAGACCAGGCTGGCTATGAACCCACACAATATCTGTTTACCGTTACCACTCAAGTGCTGGGATTAAATATGTGTACCACCATGCCTGGCCTTCCATGTATTTTTTATTTGTTTGTTTGTTTTTTGAATCAGGGTCCAATAATATAGCTCTGAATGTCCTGAAAAATCACTATGTAGACCAGGCTGGCCTTGAACTAACAGAAATCCGCTTGCCTCTTCCTTCTGAGTACTGGTATTAAAGGTACGTACCACTTCAACTAGCCAACCACGGCATTTTAAATTTACAATAAATCATAACGTTTAGGGACTCAAGCAAGTAGTAGTCTTGTTTGGGAAACTGCACATAAACATAAATTCTACATATATGGATTTATGGTCCGCACAACCATATCTTGTTATATAAAACATTTATTCATCATATCTATTTTCCTTTCTATTCTTTTCTCCCCAAAGAAGACTTTCAAGAGAAGTGAACAGTACATCAGAAGACTTGCTTACATAGCTGTATAGTTGAAAATACATTACCAGGCAAAACTTACAAGCCATTATCAATGTGGTTCAAAAAAATTTAAATATTAACAAAACAAATGAATCACATAACAAAGTGGGGGTAAATGAAGTTGACATGACTAACAAAACTCTTATAGGATGATAATGTTCTGTTTTCAACACGTGATTGTGGAGAACCATGAGCTTGAACACTGCTGAAGCTGCATAGTAAACCCCAAGCTGACCTAAGCTACACTAATACATGACCTGGTCTCAAAAATTCAAACCAAAACTAAAAGTTAAAAACAATCAAAGGAAAATAAATAAATAGAGACACAAAAGGACAGAAATAATATGCTGAAATCATGTTTTATTTTATGTTTGTTTCAAAGTAAGGCCCTTCTGGATAGCCAGGCTGCTATGGAGCTTTCTAAGCAAGCCCAGATTGGCTTTAAACCTACAAAGTTCCGCCTCAGCCTTTCAAGGGTTAGCAGTATAGGAGAATGGCCGTGCCACAGACATAGATTCAGCTGATCTGAACTCATCTATCCCTAAAGCAGGTGGGTGGGAGGAAACATACCTGATATGATGGCACTGAAGGGTAGGGGATGACCACTCCTTGGATATGGGTTCCAGTGTTGTTTGGCTGGCCTCCCACGAGGCTCTGACTCTGGGGTGACTGAACTCCAACTATTCCTTGGTAGTTTTGCTGCTGGTTGGGCACAACTTGATAACCTGTAATGGCAAAATGAGTTAAACGTTGTTTTAAATTTATTTTAAGTAAGAGTGTGTTTCTGTATTTTAAGGAAGCTCTGTCAGATTTTCATTCAGTAAATCTCCAAGACTACTGTAAGATTACAAGGTTTACTATGAAATAAAGTTTGGCCCTGGCCCAAATCTACACAAGCAAAATACGTATAAAGATTTCTTCTATGGTTAAGGAAATTTACAGGGTCACGGCCTTGGCTAACAAAAAACAAGCACTATTTAGTTTAATGAGAACTAGTCTCTGGGAATTAGGATGACCTGAATAATTTGTGAGAGGTAAATATGTACTATTCCTTTTTTAAAAATGCTAAGAATTTCATGTCCTAAGAGGAGAATAGTAAAGACGGAATGGATGTGTACCTATGCATCTATCATCAGTGGCCCTGCTGGGGAACCAAAAGACTAGGTATGTGTAAGGGACAGGTTTTTAGAATGGTTTCAAGTTTTATAAAAAAGGAAGAACAATAACAACAAATAAAAACAACAAGACATGAATGTCAGAAACATAAAGCGAAAGGTGCTATTCAGTCCTTGTTAAAGGATGCTTTTCTCACTGCATTACTAATTTCATCTGACAGAGAACTGTATTATTAAGAAGGTTAAACTTGACCGCTAACTTTAAGAAGAACATGTTTATTTTTATGAAGTAAAATTGTTACATATAAGAATCTATAATAAGGCTTAAATATCAATTGTATTTTGTTTTCTGAGTCTAAGAACATTCCTTACCCCCTCCCCCCTTCCAAAATAGGGTTTCTCTGTGAAACAGCCTTGGCCGTCCTGGCACTCACAGAGATCTGCCTGTGTCTGCCTCCAAGTGCTGGGATTAAAGCCACCACGGCCGGGCTTTAAGAACATACTTTTGTGACCACCAATTAGTGCAAGGTTTCCAAACATTACCAAAAATAATATTTTCATTGAAAACAAACAAAAACCCTGGTTAAAAACAAGTCTTTAGCATCAAGGCACTGAAAACAGAAACCATAGAGCCCACCAGTGTGCTGGCAGCGTAAACAGCAGGTAAATAAAGGCTGGTGAGACTGTGTCCCTGACTGTACCATATACTTTGTTAAATACATTTCAATTTTCATCTTCATTTAACTCTAACGTGAGAGCAACTATACCAAACCCTCAGGCATTGACTGTAAACAGGGGCATCAATCATCAATGCAGTTGACTCCATGGCATTCTAACTCTGCATAAAAATGCATGTTCTAGAATCGTCTCTGTAAAAATGAGACTGATAATATGTGGTCTGCTATCATCTCTCCTGGGCGTTTCCTATTTTGTGTAAGTTTGGACATGGACAGAAGAAACAGAGTGAAAGAAAATTCTGGCCTAACAACATTCAATCCTATCTTCAGGTCATCCAACGATAAACTCTTCAAATTCATACGCAAAGTTATAAATTATAAGTACCATAAACACAAATACACTGACACAGTTTTGTCTTTAAAAAAATTAAGACAGGAACAAAAAACAGGAAACGACCATGAGACATTATGTCTGAAATGCCACTTTTCAAAACACACACAGACACACACTCACACATACACACCCTGGCAGAATTCACTATAGTATAACCGAATTTTAATATGTAAGTATTTTAAGCTAAATAGTCATACAACTCCAATGAACAGCAAGTGCTACGCATACTAACTTTAGTTTTTTGAGTAGTGCTGGAGAATCAGACACGTGGCCTCTCACATTCTAAGTAATGTATGAACTAATGAACTCAATGCCTATTGTCAATGTTATCCTTACAGTTTATTAAAAAAGATCAAGGTTGTCTATTTAAGGGGAAAAACAGGGGTGTGGGTGGGAGAAAGCCAATCTACACTGCAAATGTGGTTTTTTAAACAAAACAAATACTCTTAAAAAAAATACTTGTCAGGTTTTAGAGCCCCCCCCCCCCCCCCCGTCTTAGTGGCATCTTTCCTAAAACTTTCTTGTGAAAGTACACTGACATAGAATATTCAAGTGAAGAACTACAGAGACCACATAATAGGGTTTAATGTCGGATCACTTGGATAGTACATTACAGAATCTGCATCACTATATTCCTATTCCCATTTTTACTAATCGCCATATACAGACACATAAGACGAACACCACTAACATTTGGAGATAATGGTAACAGGAAATCTAAAACCCCGACCCAGCAGTCATCATTTACACAGCAGAACTTGTATTATACTTGCCAGTAGGGTGACATGAACAATGAGAATGAGATCGCCTTTAAGAAATGACAATTCTGAGACTATAAAACCACAGAATTGGAGAATGAACAGTCCTGTGAAAAAATGGAGATGAATTCTTACAGGTAGGGAGGTATTAAAGTCTGTGATTTGACTTAAAGAAAAAGAATATTCCAACAAAAACTAAAGGGCTGGGATAACGGGGGAAATTACTACATTCGATGGACAGAACGTGGTCTGTAATTGTTAGATACAGAGTGTGGACTAAGGGGCCCACAATAAAGGAAGAGGAGAATCCCAATGAAGAAACATTGGATGAGTAGAGTGGTACCCATTTTCTGAGTTACACTTTTGTCTTGAGGGAGGGAGGGTTTATTTGGCTCACGGTTTCAGAGGTTTCAATCCATCATGGAGGGAAGGACAGAGCAGAGCAGCCCACATTGGTGTCCAAGGAGCAGAGAGAGAATGCCTGTGTTAGCAGGCTTTCTGCTCCCTCATTCCCCCTTCCTTTATAAACCCCCACCCAGCCTTTGGGATGGTGTACTCACATACAGGCTAGGTCTTCTCTGCGTAACTGTATCTGGAAAGATACTCACAGGTGCACACAGAGGTAGAGGAGAAAGAAGAAGGTGGGAACACTTTACAAATTTCCTAGGTGTTTTATCCAATCAAGCTGAGAGTCAAGTTTGAATGTCACACTTTTCTCTTTCCGAGACCAGAGAAGATCCAGTGTGAGTAAGATAGCATGGCTGTGCAGTAGACACACTACCTTTGGATTGAAATTAATTAACCCATTTACCCCACTGAGTCATGAGTCCACATTTTTTTCATTCACACGCAGCATAAACAATTGACCAACAGTGGATTTATTAAAAATAAGGATGACAGGTACTTTAAAAGAAAATGCCTCTCCCGTAAGATGTTTTCTTGTGCCAATTATTCTGTCCACTGCATATAGAATGTCCCCTAAAACTACTGGTAACATAAACTTTTCTTTCTAACTATTCCTTTCCTTTGTGTATACTTTTATTTAAAAAAAAAAAAAAGAAAAAAGAAAAAAAGGAAATCACTGGGCGGTGGCACACACCTTTAATGCCAGCACTCGGTCAGATCTCTGTAAGTTAAAGGCCAGCCTGATTTACAGAGCAAGTTCCAGAACAGGCTCCAAAGCTAACAGAGAAACCTGTCACGAAAAACAAACAAAACAAAACAAAACAAAACAAAAACAAAACAAAAAAACACCGACATACTATTTAAGAGTAAAGAAAGACATTTTAACGCCTACTTAATTGCCAGTTCAGAATAAAGCAATTAATATTAACTATCACTCAGCTAAAATGTAGACAATCAATATGTATACGTAAAACAATGGGAAAAAACACATTCTCCTATACAAAACCACTGACTTACTATGCTGAAAGGCTAGTTTCTCACAACCCATTTTTGAAAATGCTTTCTGACGGCAACAGTTTAAGTTTTAATGTCAGTTTATGAAGCTGACTATGTTTAGTCACTTTCACTAAACTGGGAATTCCATAAATACAAATCCCATTAGTCTCAAATTTGTGGCTGATTAGTGCATTAAACCTCTTTTAGAAAACTTTTCAGCAGCTGAGACAAATTTCATTTAATTAACCATAAAATATTGAATCGATTACAAAGATTATGAAGCTGTTTCAATTTGTATCTAATATGCAAAATTTGAAAGAACTAACAATTCTGAAAAGAATGCAATAATCATGTGATGATAAAAGATACTCATGGAAAATTAAGGAAAATAAATCCAAATACTCCTTTATAATCACCACTTACTGCTCTATGTGTGGTTGACCTTGCCTTTTCTTTAATGCTTCTAAATCAGGTTAAGAGAGGTTTCACAAAGTAGGAAAGAAGTGTTTAAATAAAATGTCTTTTTAAAACTAAAACATCAGATGTATTTTAAAATGACAGTTTCCCTGGGATTTATTTATGTGTGCAGATGTTTTGCTTGAGCGTATGTCTGTGCACTATATGCATGCAGTGCCCAAGGAGGCCGGAAGGGGCATCAGGTCCCTGGGAACTGAGCCTACAGTTGGCAGTGACCTTCCATGTGGGTGCTGGAACCGAACCCAGGCCCTCTGCAGGTGCTCTTAATCACCCAGTCATCTTTCCAGTCCCTACATTTCTTAAGACATGAATGATTAGGCCAGATGTAGTGGTACATGTCTTTGATCCCAGCACTCAAGGGCTGAGTCTGAGACCAGCCTTATTTATCTAAAGAGTGAGTTCTAGCCAGCCAGGATGATACAGTGAGACCTGGTCTCAAAACAAAACAAAACAAAACAACACAACACAACATAAAACAAACACTTAGACCTCAAGTACAACCATTAAAGGAAAAGAAAATAACTCAGTTGATCTCTAACACATTTTAAGGATGAGAGCATGTAGTAAAAAGCTAAACAGGCTATTTTGGGACAAACTATGCTATTCTTGCCTTTAGCATTAAATTTAGTTCAAAACTCCTATGCCTTTTCATTTAGAACATCAGATAAGTATCAGTGCTTCAAAGGTATCCAAGGGTAGCATTGATAGCTGACACTCGCAAATTTATTTCAGGCCAGCACTGCTCTGTGCCATGAAGTAACTCATTCCACACTCATAGATACAACTATTTCAAAGGGGCACAATTATCCTCATGTTCTGGTGAAGAGACGAGGCACAGAAAGTCTCATACCTTAGTCCACGGTCACAAGCCGGTCAGTGCATAGCTGGATCTGCATGTAAGAT